AGAAGGCGTGGTCGTAACTGTCAAGGTAGCTTACCTATTAGGTGCCTCCATTATAAAATGACCATCACTTCTGCCCTTAGTCGGCTTAGGGCCCCCGAGTAGAAATAAATTTAGAATATAAAGCTCTTTTGGGTAATGAGGGCTCAGAAAAATTTTCTTAAACTTTTTCTTAAACTGAATATTTTTCTGACATTCAAATTTCAGCTTTATTTATATTAATAGGTTTTTTCAGAATTTTAAATTAGACTTCTGCATTCAGAATGATTATCAGTATTTCTCTATCAGTTGCATACTGGCTGTTCATTTTCGCCACCAGGATTAATGCTGAATTCCTCTTCTTCAAAATTTTCATTTGTAATTCTTTTCCAAAATTAAGAAAATTCGTTGACTTTTTTTTCTTTTTTTCAAAGTTTGAATTATGTTTGCTTGTGAGTTTCTATATATCTAACAAAACATTTGAGAACTCATCATCAAACAAATTGAAGAAAATAACAAAAAATATTTGATGCCCGCCTTACGGGAAAAAAGAATAAGCTAAAAAGCAATATTTTACAAATCATAAATATAAAACTGGATTGATGTAAAATGGATAAATATAAAATTGATTGAAATTTACCACACCTAACCAGCTATTATAGCTTTGCAGCTTTCAGCAGAGTTAAATTATGTTTCCTGCTTCAAAAAAAATGAATCTGCATTCCATATAGTTGCATTTATACAGTTTTTAGAGCTAAGTGGCTGGACCAAAAATGAGCTAGAAACGCACCTCACACAGTCTGCAACACAAACTCAGTTAAGGATAATTTCTGTCTTATGTAATTTTCCATTTTATTGTTTTTTTTTAATGCCTGCGGCTTGCAGAATAAAATCCGTTAGCTTCAGGATTTCATTCTCTGTGGTTATGCATGTCATTATCATGTGATATGTCGAATTACCGCTCCTACCCTGCTACTAATTTTGGCATGGGGAGAGAGGTGTACTAACCTGAGTGAAATGTGTTCGTCTTGATATCTAATTTTGTATTAAAGCAGCGAAGCGAATGGTGCTGGAATCATTTATTTTATCAGATGGGAAGATGTGTGTCATCGCGGCAATTTAAAAATATAGTTTCCCTCTGTTAAGATGATGGACAGTATTCTTTCTTACTTCATACTAATTACTTGTTGTATCGTTGTAGTAAGTGATATGAAAACCAAGCATTCCAAATCAAAATCCCATTTTGTTGGAACTAATATAAAAGTTTGGATGACAATCGATGTAGGTGATAAGTTTTCACTGGGTGGCTGCACTTTGAATTGCTAAAGATATACTTAAAAAAAAAACAGAGATTATAACTTATTAGATATCATCTGCAGAAGCCTTCCGAAATGTAAGGAACTTAGCAGAAACAAAACAGTAATGCTGTTACTTACAGTATTGGAGTAAATGATGCCTATCGTGAGGCTTCTCAAAATTATTAAATATAAAAGTACAACGTTTGCCTTTCGGAAATACTGCTTCCTCGCAAATTCTTTCTGGAGACTGAATACATACTATAATTAGTTTATAGTAAAATAGTATAATTGTTTCTAATCCTTTTTAAGATTATACAGCACTAGACTATTGAGGATATACTACCAAACAGATCTCGGATGGAAATAAATATAGTTTAAGAGACAATCCCCCACGTTTAATTGTTCATGTTAGTGCTGCCAGTTTTGAATAAGAACAAACAAAACAAAACAAAAAACAAAAAAAACATGTTTTCTAGAAAAAAATTAATTTCCTGTCAATAAGAAATAAGAGATAGAGATTTATAGCGTTTTAGAACTCTTTATTAATGTAAAACTTTCGATTTTTAGTAACTCAAAAGAACTACTTAAGTTCCTACTTTATGAAAATGCTTTTATTAGTGATACATATCAAGCCCTCAGCTATATTGCCAAAAGGCTATGATCTATAAAGCACTGAAAATGATGAGTATTATCTAAAATTAGACAGCTGCGTGAACAGGCTGTGTTATCAAAATAAAACAAGACTGTCTTTTTAGTAAAACATTTTAGAAAATGCAAGACATGTATTATTGCAAAGCCAAAATCAACTCATCATAGGAGAATATCAGCAAGGTTCTAATATTAAACAACTCGCTGAATAACTGTCTGTAAATTATTTATGGCTTCGATAGAAATGGTTCTTTAGTAATTTCTCTCTCCTTTAGGAAAAAAAAGTTAGAGATTATAAATTTCTTAAGTAACAACTGTGTTAGTATCAACAAAAATCAACTATGTGTAAAAAAAAAAAAAAAAAAAGGAGGTCATTTTAACAAAATTAACAAAATGATAGTTTTTGATTTTAAAATGTTAAAAATATTTTTTATTAATTTTATTAGCTGTATTTAAAAATTACGTGTGTAGGTTTTCAATGTTTTATTTCAAAGAAAGGAGTCTCAAAAGGTAAATAAAAACCTTTTTTTATATTTGTTAGAGAATTAAAATTTAAATAGATGATCATATTTAACAGATCCTCTAAATTAAAGAACATTTCTTTCACCCATTAGGAATTTAATTCATGTAATATGTTTTCAAGGAAAGTTTAGAGAACTTCAAGTAATTCTATCGAATTTACGAATTGTTTTATTTAGTAACTAAAATGTTGTAACTGTCAAGTCTCTGAAGAAAAATTCTTTTCCGCACTGCTTTTCAGAATTTGCATTACTTAATTATCTAAAAGCAAGTGTTTAAAAGAAGTTTTAAGTTCGTGGGCGGAGATATTGTTAACTTACTGGACTTTTCAGTCTTGCCTGAGGTCAGCGTATCAGTAAACTCCTAGGATATCCGGTCGGCGTCTGCAGAATGATGATAGTCGACGGCAAAACAAACCATTACAGGAAAGCACATTTTTTTTCGACTCAGTGCACTCTAAAACCTCTTCACCAAGACCTAGTAGCTAAGAGAAAAAATTTTGTGCAGACTGCATGCCGGGAACAATTTCTTAATTAAATGCTGTTAATGAATGCATGTGTGGGTATCCGTAATGGGTTACTGTGATGGATGGGTTATTAATGATACTTTTGGGGCCGAGCAGCACCGTCTCAGGTATGTATTAACCTTAATATTTTTTTGACACAGATATGTAGTTTTACCTGGTCAAGAACAAAATTTTGTGTAAATTTTGAGAGTACTATCTTGCACTCCTTGACTGCATGTACATATTTTAAGTATCCCACGCAGGCTTAACTAAATAACTAACTGGGCTGCGTATTTTAAAAGCAGATTAAGCTGTGTGAAATACCTACCAAGAATTTCATATCGGTAAGGAAAATTATAATGTAATTAAAAATTTAACAATAAAATATACATTTAAATTTGATTTTTCGAATCGCTTCCTGAAATTTTATATGAAAAATTATGCAGCTTATACAATTAATGCAATTTAACTGACAAACTAAAATATAAATTGATGAAGTAATTAGAAAAGAGACGGTTATATTCTTCCGATATTTATATGCATGTTTATTTCAAATGAGGAATGGGCATTTAATAATAATAATGAAACTGGAAAATAATTTCTGTTCGTTAGCTATTACTAAATGTAATCAATCTAAAATAAATTATTAGATAAAAAAATTAAATAGATATATTTTTATCACAATCCAAATTATGCCAATGCTTGTTGCATACTTAAATTGATCTGAAATCGTAAACCTTAGGGCATAATTAATGCGTCGTTTAATGTTACGAGTAGTAAAAACGAAATTAGCACTATACGTAGAGAAGTTAATTAAGATGAGCTGTTTTGCGTAAAAGTGTGTAGAATAGTTAAAGTAGTCAAATATTTTCATTCAACAGATTCCGGTTATACGATCTCCTTTTATCTGACAGCGCACTTTTTATATGAGATATGAAAACTTAATTCTTCTGAAAATTATTTTTATTATTATTTTAATAAAATAATAACAATAAAGCGCTTTATTATAACTATTGATATATTTAAACAATAATCATTAAAACAATAATTTAATGAATGATAATTTATTGTATTTGAATAACTTGAGACTTACAACCTTTATAATATTTGAATAATGACCTCCTGCACCTAAGAGTTTTAAGGAAGATATGATTTTCATATTCATTTCATGTGAATCACAGTTCTGAAAAGAGTAATTCTGAGCCTTTTCCTAACCAAGAATAGTTAGCTTTTTCGTAAAACAACTTGTTAAACATCAGAAAGCGTAAGCTGCCATTTCTTTTGATATCTTTCATGACATATAGCGAAACCTCCTTAAGAAGGCCATTTAAGAATCCATAACCTTTTGGTCTTCTATAAAGGTGGTCATGTTAAAGAGATAACATTCAGTACTGATATTCATACAAGTTTTAAGAAATGCTGCTCATTTCAAGAGGTGGTCGCTATCAGAAATTTCACTGTATTTATTTTCTTTGTTTAACTTTTATACAGTATACTTCATATCGTAACGGACTGTCTCTATCTTCCAATGAAATCATTCCATTTTTATAGCCGTACAAAATAAAATTAAGTAACTAGAAACAGAGCTCGTTGTATAATAATTATAGCCATCTCCGATTGGACAAAGTTAATAATAAAATGCTGTGTTCTTCACTCAGCAAGTCTACTTTAATTCAAACCACAAGTCTGCCTTAACGGAAAGTCGGGTGGGTAACTCCATGTTATCCGTGCATCACTCAGTGTCATTTACGTCGTGTAGTGGAGGCTCTGTTGTATTATTTATTATACTCATTATGAAAAACGAGTAAGTTTTCCTTCAAAAAGAAACATTAGGTGCATTTCTAATTGATTGATTATGTTGGGGGAGTAAAATATAGATATTTGTCAATCTATTTTAAAAGCATTTCTCTTTAACATAAAGGTACAGTTCAACCCCTGATACAGATCCTTTCCCAAAGACGACCACCTATGAACAGATTTCTTAGAACATGAATAAACACATGTATTAAAAGTTACAAACGTGACCACCTCGACAGAAGCCCAAAGTAATCTTGAACCGTGGGTTGTCGTCTTGGAGACGTTTTCCTACACTGAAGCAGAAGAAAGACTATGTGGAAATTTAGGTGATAAAATCTTAAAGTGCAGAAAAGATTCTTTCTCACAGCAAAAACTTCACGGAGGCTTTTAAAAAACTTTAGAACCTAAAAAATTTATATTTTCTCAGTACGTTTTGCGTGCTAAGGCGTATCAAGCACATAATTAAATAAAAAGAGTGTCAGGATATCTGTCCAGCTAGTAATTTTAGCTTAGAGGTGAGAGTAATCCTAAAGTCTCGAATACGAGTCAGATTCCTACGAATTCCTCGATTGTTTTGATTATGCTACTTAACATCAAACTTAAAACTCATATTGCCCAAATAAGAAACGTAAAAACTTTCAGGCTTGCTAAAGAAACAGCTCACTATGATGATGCCCAGTCCATTAAAATGCCTTAATCGTATACTACATCAGTTTATATCAGTACTTGGCAATAAAACTGAAAGGAAACATTCCAAGGTTGAAGAACTAGGCTTCATACCAAAGCTTAACAAGAAAAGGCTATTTCAAGGCAGTTTCTTAGATCATTTTGTAAGAGGTGATGCTTAATTTCCTTCTCATTTATTTTCAAGACCCCTCTCTCCTTTAGATATAGAGAGAGGTATTCGATCGTTATTTGTTTTACCGTCCCTTCATAATGAATTTTCATCTAAAAAAGATTCAAGGTGATTGCTACTCCTACATGAAATACATAAATAGAATTTCATTTCTTCACTAAAAATTATTCATATACGAAGCTATTATCAATATAGAAACTGACATATGCCATGGTTGAAGACAATATACTCTTTTTAAACAATCAAACTTATTCGCAGAATATTTAGTATTTTTTAACCAAAGAGCTGTTTCATTCTCTCTATCATTAAATTTCAAACTTGTAATATACGTACTTGCACTACACTGCTTTTTTATGGCGCAGATTCTGAAGTAATTAGTATTTATTAGATTATTCAAAGAACGCTAAGAATATCTGCCTATTGGAAGGAGGGCCTCCATGAAGGCTAAGACTCATACTTACGTTACACATACAGGGAAAAACTCGAAAAGTTTCATGCAGCCATCCCGTTCGCCTGGATTTGAAGAAGGGTCGAACCACTAGTATTCAGTGATCTTATCCGCTTGGAAGCTAGTGGCCTTTGAAATATTTAGAAACTATTAGCATTTTAAGCTTTGATTGTTGTCTTTGTTGTGTTATGCAGTGCATTCTGTTACTGTACTATGCATGAATTTACTACATTTGCTTGTTCTTTATACTAATATGGCTTCGGAACTTTCAGAAACATATCCTTCAAAATTTCTTAGTAATATTATGTTAGTGTTAACATACTGCTTTATGTATCATATCCTGCATCTTTTTTCTAAATTAGTAAATGGATAGTGAGAAAAGGCAACTTATGATGACCAATAGTAGCCACCAGACAGAGGAGTGGTTAGTTAAGCTGTCCTCCGTACCAAGCGGATAGGGCTTGAATCCTGGAGAAAGCATGAATGTCTGAAAACGTATAGTGCCAGCCTATCTATGAAAGCTATAAAGTTATCATAGCTAATATTGCAAAAATTACGCATTTAACTGTATAATAAAATAAAAAGAAATTTTAATTTATGAATAACTTCTGACGGAAAGGAAAAATCAGTTAAAACGTGAATGCAATCTCAAAATATTGATGCGAAATACACTATGTAAAGAAAATATCAATTAACAAATGTCAAAGGTTAAAAATATCAGCAAATAATGCACTTGAGAACAGAAAAATCATCGGATCCTACTTAAATGAATAGAAGATCAGTTGATGAGAGAATGAATAGAAATGAATGAATAGAAACGAGAATTAAATCTGAAAAACGAGAGCTTTGCTGCCGAAATTATCTTGTTTATAGTCACGTTGTGACTCTTTGCAGAACGTGTCTTCTTGTTGAACAGTTACCTCCAGCTGAAGGTAAGAAAAAAATGAGGAAGAGCGAAATCTGAGAAATTTAATGGAAATATTATGCTAAAAAATGAGGGATTTGGAAATATTATTAAGACTATGGAATTTCGTCTTTTCTATTACTTTGTGCTAGGAAGAACAATAGTTGAATTATTTAATTTATTAAGGATATATCAATTCATTATTAAGTGCCAGTTTTTTGTCAGGATATTATTTGATTTTTATTGTACATTTAATTTACTTAAGATTTAACTAAGACAAGGCATGTAAAATTTAAATTTCACACTTTGAATGATTTTCTTTCGTTGGATAATTAATCAGAAGGTGAAACGTTATCATTTGCTCCTTAGTCCAATGCAAATACTAAATTCAAAGAACTAATTTTAAGTTAACATTAAAGTCACTAATTAACTCTAACTAGTAATCTTTGAGCGGTATAATTATTTGATTTTTATTGTACATTATTGTTTGAAGACGAACTTATGTCGGGAAGAACAGAGTTGCTTTATTGGGCAATTAAATATCATTTTATTTTTAATAACCCTTAACCACCGTTCTGCTGTAATTGTTTCTTGCTGAAAATCAGACACAGGCAATGACGTTTCCTTACTTTCAAACAATTTCGAGTTAACAAAGAATTTATAGGCTCGAGAGAGAAGAGAAACACCCCAAAGTAAAACATACATTTATACAAAGTCATAGCCTTGTGTTTAGCATAGATTTCAACTAAGGCTATCGATTTCGAAGGCGAACAGGTACAGGTCCCTCTTCATCTAGAGCAAAGAAATTCTGCTAATATAATATACTAAAATCTGCAGAATTTGATTGCTTTACGGTCAGTGAGTGATACCAAGAACTCTCTCTGAAGTTCAAGAACTCTGAATTTATATACCGACTGTTAACCCTAAAGGCTGTTAACATTTGAAAATTTAATAATGCACTGAATAATGTAGGTAGAGAGGTAAAAACTGACACACTGAGGTTTCATAGTAGAAGGTGCTAACACCAGGGTACCTGGGCCGAAGGCTCTACCCCTTATCCAACAATTTGGGTATTTTTTAATTTTTCAAACCATAAAGTAAAAAAGATAATGTAAACAATGAT